TGCAACAATTCTTAAAGTTACGATGTTTATTTTTAACATTTTGGAGGGTTTTTCTCTGAGCTATGCTGCGGTGTCCCATACTTTTAGCTTGTAATGGTTCCCAACCAATGGTGCTCCGTTCACTATCCAGCCCTGTTTTCAGGGTTCCCCCAAAGGGGTACCCATAAAGGTGCAGCAGTACATTTTTCTTTGTATGGTCCTCCACATTCCCATGACCAATCTCCAAGCACAACTTCAGTACTGCCCCTGTGGACTCAGCACTGCTTCAGTACCGCTCCCACTTCCCTGTGGCCTCCAAGAACAATTTCAGTACTGCTCCCACTTCCCTGTGGTATCCAAGCACAACTTCAGTACTGCTCTCACTTTCATGTGGCCTCCAAGCACAACTTCAGTACTGCTCCCACTTCCCTGTGGCCTCCAAGCACAGCTTCAGTACTGCGCCCACTTCCTGTGGCCTCCAAGCACAGCCTCAGTACTGCTCCCACTTCCTGTGGCCTCCAAGCACAGCCTCAGTACTGCTCCCACTTTCCTGTGGCCTCCAAGCACAGCCTCAGTACTGCTCCCACTTCCATGTGGCCTCCAAGCACAGCCTCAGTACTGCTCCTACTTCCCTGTGGCCTCCAAGCACAGCCTCAGTACTGCTCCCACTTTCCTGTGGCCTCCAAGCACAGCCTCAGTACTGCTCCCACTTCCCTGTGGCCTCCAAGCACAGCCTCAGTACTGCTCTCCACTTCCCTGTGGCCTCCAAGCACAGCCTCAGTACTGCTCCCACTTCCCTGTGGCCTCCAAGCACAGCCTCAGTACTGCTCCCACTTCCCTGTGGCCTCCAAGCACAGCCTCAGTACTGCTACCACTTCCCTGTGGCTCAACCCCTTCCTGCTTAAAAAACCCTGTTACTGGAACTTTAACAAGATAAATGGCAGAGACACTACACTAAATTTAGCTGGCCATTCAGGACGTTCAGCAAGAACATGTTGAAATTCTACACATGTATGGCTGTTCCTATTAAAAAAGAGTGGCAGGTCTCCTGTCAGAGAGGCCTGTGTGGTGTGGCAATGCTGTGTAAATCACAGAACTGGATGGACAGATATACTAATTCTTTGGCAGGTAAGACAACTCTCAGTATACAGTATGAGTTGTTAGTGGTTTGCCTGAATTTCACCTTCAACAAGTATACAAACAGAAATGTAAAACTGGCAGAAGTTTTAACCCTTCTGATCTTTACCACAATACAAATAGCTGTGGAACTTTGCTACACCCCATACAATGACTTTTATAAGATTGTTTTAGACCTAAGCTGACCTGTGTTCAACTTGTCTTGGCCAGCTTCAATCCTGTTTTATTACGCATTTAAGATTCTAGAAATAATTCTCTGGATAAGCATGTTTTTTAAATTGCAAAAGCACAATAAACTGGAATTACTGTTTGTACAGAACCTCTTGTATTTTTAAAGAATGCTCATCAAGATCTCTGTCTTATTGATTGTTCATTATAAAGGGATTATTGCCTTCAGTAAGATTAATCCAAGATGCTTCTGCCAGTTAACAGTGGAAAAAGATGTTTCTTTTTCCAATACCTGCTCAGCTGGGAGATGTATCTGTGTATGGACAGTTTTTATTACCACATCATTTGGCAGCCTTTACATGAATGGAGAAGCCAGGTTGGATCTGTGGATTATATGAAGACATGCTCTAGAAATTTTATTTGCAATTGATTAATCCTAAGAAAATGAATATTAGAACAAATGTGATGTTATCTTAACTGAAGTATGTAATAAAGGAAAGCAAATGAATCATAAAATGAATGAATTGATTGATAAAGAACAATGATGACAATTTGGATCAGACATCCAAACAATTCCTCCAGAGTAACAGTAACTAATGATAACAGCAAATACCTCAATCTTTATAAAAAAAAAAACTAGATTGTAAAGTTATTTTTGGAAACCTAATCAAAAGCAGATAGAATCAGTCAGGATGGACTCCTATGCAGGCACCTGTGAATCAAATATATATGATTCACAGGTGCCTGCATAGGAGTCCATCCATTTTTTCATATATGGTGACACCTGTATCTACCGGGCCAAACAATTTTATCTCTAATGACAATGCCCAGGGCAGTCATTGAGTGATTTCAGCATATGCGTGTATAGCACTATATCACAGATCTGAAGAGCTGATTCAGCACCTGCACCAAAAAGGGTTCATTCTGGAACATACAAGTGACCTCTAACATGCAAGGACATGGTCGTTTTGTAGCTATATTATCAAATCCAACCAGTCAGCATCATTGCAAATAAAGATCATGCAGTCCAACCACTTTCCTTATTCATGAGCTGTCAAACCCTATTGGGCCTATGGATATCCTAAAAAGGAACCAGCAGTGAAAGAAATATGCAGTCTCCTTCTGAAAATGCTAGTTGCATGGCTGTCCCCAGTTTTAATACATTTTCCTACCCACCAGGGATAAAAAAAATGTAAGTGAAAGACATTGAAGTAAAAACTTCATATCTGCATACGTGTTCCAGGTCAGCTTCAGTACTGTACTGAAGTTAGTACAGGAAGTTAGCATTCTCATATGGATAGGTCAGCAATGGCAACTTGCATATTTCTCCAAGCACAGATATTCTTTAGGCCACTAAAGATGAAGTCCAGGCTGGATAAAAAAAAAGTGATCCTTGAACTGGGTACCTGCCGTACTTCATGAATTAAATTCTCATTTTGTCTAGGGGTAATTGAATAACATGAAATACTTACTCTTTGCTTTGGCAGGCTTCCTCCTTTTCATAAGACTGGTCCTCCAAACCCTTTTTTCTTTGCTGCCCAACTGGATACAGCTCTCTGCTATCATCACATGCAATGCAGGACTTAGGCAGGCCATACATGGAGCAAAATTTAATTCCGGCAACCACGGATTCCCCCATCTGTGGGAGGTGAACCCCTCCTGTCAAACCATTGTATTCTCTTGGTGGGGGAGCAGTCCCTGCTGGGAGAACATAGTGATTATTGCTAGCAGCTATACCAGTTGCTAGCAATAATCATATGTAAAATCCTGCAGGCTGGTTGTACCCAAGTTGATCAATCGATCAACTTAGGTATATTCAGCCTGTCTATACATGGTTCAAATCTCAGCCATTTTGAACCATCTATGACTGTCCTTTTGGTCCTACATAAATGTGAGGATGCGGAGAACCTGCCCAAAATTCTTGTGTTGGACAGTGCAGGAGATAGTTCATTGCCAGAGGAGTAGGGAATAAGGTAAGTATTTTATCCTATTAATCATCCCTTACAGAACACCTTACCCTTTCTACACCTCCATGAGGGAATATTTCTGCAGTCTACAGAGAATTGGTTATAGCTTAAACCAATGCTTGAGATAGAACTGCAAAGTGACAGCAATGGATTTGTGGCAGAATCAATAGCTGTATGTTTTTAAACAGATATAAAATGCTTTTAATGGCATATTTTTCAGACCAGAGCAAATAAAGCAAGTTGGATAGGTATTGTGTTTTACAACCAAGCCAGCTTTACCTTTTGTCTAATAAAGGAAGAATGAAAATTGGATTTTTGCACGCTCTCAAATTGCACAGATATTATGCAATGTTGCCAGGGAGATTTTAAGATATATGAGCATCAAATGAATTGCAATGCTCACAATGCTGTACACGGTATTTATACATACATGGGAACATATGAATATACGTATACTGTGCGTCCTTACCATGAAAAACTATGAAAAATATTCACATACGGTTATATATTTAAATCATATTTACTAATGTTTGATGGATTATTGCACCCAACAGTATGCCCTCCCTTTACTTATAATTTGCTTACCTAGAAAAAAATCCATCTACATATTTCAGTAATTGCAGAGAACCTTGTATGCCTGTGTGTGATTTGTAAACATTCATTAGAGTTAACCCAAGCCGTGACTTAACCAAGATTGCTTATCATCTCCCCCTAATTATAAAAATATTTCCCGTTATTATTCTGATGTGATAATGCACTTTCCTTGATCTCTTCTCTACTGCAATTTAAAGGTGATTTTTCCTCACCGTGGAAGTCTTTAAGAAGATTTGTTGCTGTGTATTTTCATAACTAAGGCTAATTATCCCTTTACGTGTAGGTTTGATGTCTGCTATTCTCCTTATTGCTTCAGGCTGAAGACATGCCTAGTTAATGCCTGCAGGACAGGAGATGTGTCCAGAGTTCCCTCATAAAGGCTTGTTTTCACTGCATGTCAAGAGAGGGATATAGGTTCTGCCTTCCAGCCATGGTATCAACTACAAGCAACTAGGGAAGCTTTAATATTACCACAGGAAGCTTATATAGCCCGTCCTATTGCTGTCTGTGTCTTCTTTCTGCTTCAGTGAGTTTTTTTCTCCCTTTGTCCCAGCAGGGAAACTGCCTGGTAGAAGGTGTGCTGGTTTCTTTGCGAAGTCTATAATTAGGTCCCTATCTGATTTAATTAGGAGCTAACCTTGTCCCTAGTTATTCTGAAATCTTTACAAATATTTTCTGATTGATGCCCTATGGGGACAACTGGGCTGAACACTGATTTCATGTTCTTTAGATTTTATATATCTAGAGGCAATGTCAGTTCTTAGGAAACATATCAAGTGCAATCTGTAGTACTAGCACTGTGACCTAATGACTGGAGATATCACTTTGGTCTAAAAAAGTGCAGTATTGCATTAAAATAGAAGGTATTTCAGTGTTATGACTTCCATCACAAAAGCAAAAAATACATGAATTTATTGCTTGTATTAGGATAAGATGAGTCATTCACATCATGCCTTTATGCCCCGGTGACCAGTTGTGCAGCCAGTAGCACAGATATGGTCTAAAATTATATATGTACAGTATAAAGCTGTATTGGGCCATTGTCAGCGAGATGGAAAATATGGCTTTTCAAATTTAGTTTGGGGGCATCAGGACATATAACTAGTCGACTTATGGCTAAGGAGGAACAAAAATGCAGTACCGTATTTTTCGCTCCATAAGACGCACATGACCATAAGACGTGCTTAGGTTTTAGAGGAGATAAACAAGAAAAAAAAATATTCTGAACCAATGGACTGCAGACATAGTACAGGAAATGACCAGAGACTGCAGACACAGTACAGGAGATGGACCAGAGATTGGACCAGAGACTGCGGACACAGTACAGGGGATGACCAGAGACTGCGGACATAGTACAGGAGATGACCAGAGACTGCAGATATAGTACAGGAGATGACAAGAGACTGCAGACACAGTACAGGGGATGACCAGAGACTGTGGACACAGTACAGGAGATGGACCAGAGACTGCGGACACAGTACAGGAGATGACCAGAGACTGCGGACACAGTACAGGGGATGACCAGAGACTGCGGACAGCACAGGGGATGACCAGAGACTGCGGACATAGTACAGGGGATGACCAGAGACTGCGGACAGCACAGGGGATTACCAGAGACTGCGGACAGTACAGGGGATGACCAGAGACTGCAGACAGTACAGGGGATGACCAGAGACTGCAGACAGTACAGGAGGATGATCAAGAGACTGCAGACAGTACAGGGGGTGACCAGAGACTGCAGACAGTACAGGGGATGACAAAGACTGCAGACAGTACAGGGGATGACCAGAGACTGCAGACCTTTAGGGAGGGAGGGGGAGTGGGTACCTGAATTTGACAGGTACCCGCTCCCACTTCCATGGTGTTGTCCTCCCTTTACTGTGGGCACCCAGCTGTGACAGCCGGGTGCCCACTGCGCATGCGCGAGAAGCGCTGCACTTTGTGAATGGCCCGGCGTCTTCCGGGACCTGTCACGTGTCCCAGAAGACGTCGGACCATTCACAAAGCGTAGTGCTTCTCGCGCATGCGCAGTGGGCACCTGGCTGTCACAGATGCCAGCGCGGGAAGACTGTACAGCGCTGGACCGAGGAACAGGTAAGGTCCTGCAGCAGAGAACAGCTGAGTGGCTGGCCTGGTATTTTGACATGGTGGCGGCGGCGGAAATACCGGACTGGCCACTTTATATTCACTCCATAAGACGCACTGACATTTTCCCCCCTTTTTTGGGGGAAAAAAAGTGCGTCTTATGGAGCGAAAAATACAGTAATTTGCAATGCCTTATTGGAAGACATTTTTTGCTCCTTTTGGCCTATCACACCATGAGATGACTAGTTATCCATATATTGAGGGAAGACATACATACTGTGCTGTCCAACTAACAGTTAGCTGACAGCTAACAAAATTGACAGAAGCAACGTTGGCTTTCATTCCAAAACTTTCCCCCTCCCCCTCTTTCCCATTTCACTTCCCCTTCTCTCTTTCCTTTCTTTCTTTTCCTTCCTATTGCTGGCAATGGTGCTATGCCTGATAGGGAGGAGCTCTTGATTATGATTGGCCACTGTAGTGCCTTATGGTGTTTCATTCCAAAACTGAATTTAATTCTGTGAATAGTTCTCTAAAACTGCAATACAATCACATAAACTGAAGTTACAATATGCTTGTAAACGTGTCTCACAAATGCATACAATGAACACAGCTACCTACAAATCACATTGAATACATTGAAATGTGATCTAGCTATGTATGTGACTTGGCTGATTAGCAATTTGTGTTACCAAGCAATTGAACACGTGTACCTAATAAAGTGGCCAGTGAGTGTATATATCCCATAAGGTATAATGGGAATAACAGTATCTGATTACATCAAAGTAACTGGAGAAATACAGCCATGCTATTGCTGGGATAAGCATGCAGCAAGTTAAGTCAAAACTTCAGATCTACAAATTTGTTGGTATATGACTCAACCAGCTTGAATACTAGAGCGTTAGCATGACAACAGCATGGTAAGGACAAACTTTTTTTTTCTTTCATGACAGGTTCCCTTTAATACGATTTTGAGTGCGCCAAAAACAAGTAGCGAGATGCACACAATACACAGCAGATGGATTGCACAGTAGCTGAACAATATTCACATATAAAATAAATTTGCAAAGCATTTGGTTTATGCTGACAGAGTATTAACATAATTTAAAGTACTAGTATCTTTATATTATACACCAAAATCATAATAAAAATCATGTTTTTTTGCCATGAAAATGTTTTAATTTCTACCTTTGATTTCAGGATACACATATCCATTACAATAACTAGGATTTTTCCTGAATGGCAACCACATTCACAGTTAAAACATCATTCATTCTAGAAAATCCATTCCTCTCCTTCAAATTTCCTTATCACTGTGGCCGAAAATTTATTCCACCTGCCCACCTGATATACTGGGAGAACTTTAAGTCCCTGGGTCTCTTCGGGTTGTATGATATGGTGATGTGCTTCCCTTTTCTGTGCACAAGCCACACCTGCACTGTTGCATTGTTTTGTTGCTTATTCATGGCAGCAGCACAGCTACTTATGGTCAGTTGTTTACATACATGATGCCCCTTCGTAGAATGTTGAGTTGTTAATTGTATGTCTTTTTTGTAATCTTCATTTAAAAAAAAAATCTACTTTTAGCAAAATTGAATGATAAACCATAGAAAGTAGACAGTTTATCTGACCATAGCCAATGTGATTTTCTTTCCTGCAACCATGGGTTGCAGGAGAGAAAATCACTCCATTCCCCCATCAACATAATCAGTGTTGATGGGGTAATCCCTCGCCCAGAGCTATTGTGATCTCCTGGTGGAGTAGGAGGGGGGCGGGGGGGGAAGCTGTTCCTGCCTGGAGAATGCAGTGATTATTGCTAAAGCAGGGCCTAAAATTTCCACTCGCCTGCTTGCATTTGGCGAGTGGAAATAATGTGGGGGTGATTCACTGTCAAAGCCGGAGCCACTAAAAGGCAGCACAGGCAGCTGGGTAGACAGACCCTGGCGCTCCATGTCCCAGACCTGTGCACCAATCACCTTCACCATTCCTCTCCCTGCTCACCCGCGGTGTTTTGCTCTCCTCCCTGAGCCTCGTTTCAGGTGCTTCCGAGTCTCTTACTAAAGGGAACATGGGAGGGGCGGCACTGTGTACAGGGTGCTGCCGTACCAACCTCGACTCCCTGACAAGCTGGTTCTCATCTGACAGGTTAGATCTCTTTGCTCTGGCTGCAGCTGCACTTTCTTCCCCCGACAATCTCTCCACTCCTCTCCAGTGTAGATGATCTATTCTGCTTCAGTCTTCTTTTTTTTCTCCTCTGTGTCTTCTCGGTCAAGCCACACCTGTTCTCTGCTTTCCTCTTCTCCTTCCCTGCCATGCACAGTTCCATTCACAGCTTGAGGGCTCTTTCTGTAAGTGGGGGCTCTGATGGTAAAGGGGGGGTTTTGATAGTACAGGGGGATTCTGATGGTACAGGGGGAGTCTGATGGTAAAGGGGGACTCTGATGGTACAGGGGGGCTTTGATGGTGAAGGAGAACTGTGGTGGTACAGGGGGAGCTCTGATGGTAAAAGGAACCTCTGATGGTTCAAGGGGATTCTGATGGTAAATGGGAGCTCTGATGGTAAAGGGGGACTTTGATGGTACAGGGGGACTCTGATGGTACATGGGAAATCTGATGGTAAAGGGGGGCTCTGATGTTACATGGGAACTCTAATGGTACGGAGGGCTTTGATGGTGAAGGGGAACTGTGATGGTACAGAGGGAGGGGAGGTCTGATGGTACAGGGGGACTCTGATGGTAAAGGGGGACTGGTAGAGGAGGACATGGGATGGGGGAGATGGGACTGGAGAAGGAAAAAGAAAAAGACATGGGATGGAGGAGATTTTTACATTGCTTTATTAATATTATTAAATATGTTGTTGTTAATATTTATTCCGCATAAAACATTTCACAGTATCATTTCATGAGATAATTTACGAGGGCATGTTTAGGGGTGAAATTAGGGATGGGGAAGGGTAGGGGTTGGGTGGGGCAACTGGTGGCGAGTAACTCTTAAGGCCTGGCTAGTAGCTAAGGACTTGAAATTTTAAGCCTTGTGCTAAAGGATATAAACACTGGCAATTATCGCATGAAAAATCCAACAGGCTGGTTATACCCAGGTTGTCAACAATCAAATTGGGTACAATCAGTCTGCCCATAGATGGTATCGAACCATCTAAAGCTGGCTTTACACAAGGAATGTTAACTACTAAAGATAAGACCTTCTTTGTTTGCGCAAGGACTTCTGAAAATTGTAGTGAATTTTTCCCCTGGTGGCCTTGTGTTATTTTACATAATGAAAGATCTGTGTTGAGCTTGAAAACCAAGTAACCAAGGTTTGCGCATTAGTAAAGATCATATACTACATTATTAACAGCATCATCTTAAATCTCATAATCCTCATTTTTTTCCAAAGCTGCCTAATGTGAAAATCTGACCATGTGCACAGATACTTTTACATATTTTTTATAAAGTGTGGCACAACCCAATACTGTCAATGCCTGATTAGGCTTTGTACGCACTGAGGCTGGATACTGTAGTGTATCTATCTCCTAAGGGAAAAAAGCCAGCGTTGCCCTCAGTGATCAGCACAGTCTGGAGCTGAGGGGAGGAAAATACATGATGAAGGACTTCGGAGTCTTATGTAGACCACCATTTTTAAATAGTGAAGCGTGAAGTGAATCCGATGTGCTGCTGAATGTTTATCTTCACTGAGCCATTCAGTTTAGTACTGCACAGGATATTGAAAAGTACCCAATAGGTGTCTAGCGTGCCACAAGCAATACATTTTCAAATCTGAAAATAGGTTTCAATATAAAATGCTATGCTACAGAACAGAGATATTAATCCTTTGGACTGCAGAAAGGAGTGCATACCCTCCTGGAGAAAGTACTGAGAAGGGTAACCAAACTGATAAGAGGCATGGAGGAGCTCAGCTATGAGGAAAGATTAGAGGAACTGAATTTATTTTCTCTTGAGAAGAGGAGATTAAGGGGGGATATGATCAACATGTATAAATACATCAGTGGTTCATATAGTGAACTCGGTGTAGAGTTATTCACCCTGAGGTCATCACAGAGGACAAGGGGGCACTCTTTACATCTGGAGGAAAAGAGATTTAATCTCCAAATATTGAAAGGTTTCTTCATAGTAAGAGCTGTGAAAATGTGGAATAGACTCCCTCAAGAGTTGGATCTGGCCAGCTCAGTGGATTGCTATAAAAAAAAAGGATTCTTTCTTAGATACACAGAATAAAACTAGATACTAACATTTATAGGTAAAGTTGATCCAGGGAATATACGATTGCCTCTCGGTGGGATCAGGAAGGAATTTTTTTTCCCTGCTGGTGCAAATTGGATCATGCTTTGCTGGAATATTTTACCTTCCTCTGGATCAACTGTGGGTGTAGGATTGTAACTTTTTTTTTTTAATGGTTGAACTGGATGGACTTTTGTCTTTTTTCAGCCAGACTAACTATGTAACCCTAAAGTACATTACACTACTCTTTACTCCTTCAAAGAAATACATTGTTTAATGAAGAAGATTTGATTTTTCTATAGATTCAGCATGGCAGAATGTAGTAGTCATGGTATTCAACTAAACTGAGTACATCAAATGAAAAACTATTATTACTGACAAAGCTAAAAACACATACCAATATTGCTTGTTTGATTAACTGATGGGCCATGCAATCAGAGGACTATTTAGAAAG